AAAATTTTTGCTATAGGAATTCCTATTTCGACGATTTCTGCGCGTTTTATTTCCAATTGAACAAGCATTATTATCACGAGTAAACAGACTATCCCAATTATTACCGTAACTTTCTTCAGAATTAAGTCACACTATATCAGTTATTTGCAAGGTTGCAAATACAGGGTGTCTACTACCTGGAAAAACCTGAAAAACCGGGAATTTACAGGGAATTTTATTTTTTCTGGAAAAACCTGGAATATTCAGGGAATTTTGGTTCCACTCAGGGAATTTTCCAATTATCACTTCATTCGTAATTCAAAAGAAGTTTTTCGTTCAGTTTCTCGAAACGTTTCTTAAGGACACTGAACTTGACAAGCATCTGACAGCTAAGACAACATGTGCGAACGAGACAAGTTCATTCAGAGAGTCTTGTCACGCTCGCTCTTCGCTGATTTGTATGTGGAGGATCAAAATCGTCGTAAAAAGGAAACAGCCGAAAAAGAGAGACTGGCAACCGTCAAAAGGAAGCATACGAAGCATGTATTGTATAAGAATAAGCATGCCAGACAGCAGGTCTGAGACTCAACATAGAATTTTTTTTGAGCTTCAGAGAGGGTCGGATATCTACTGAGAAATTTGTTGAGCTTCAGATAAGTTCGTAGATCTTGAGAACGGAACTACAAACAAATTAAAAGTTATTACCAGAAATTCATAAAAACAAAATCACAAGAGAGGTCGTAGATCTTCAGATAAATGTTCAAAGAAATTTTCAAAACTTCAAGCAAGCAAAAATAATTTCAAATCAATTTGTAAAACTATAAGCGAAATTTTACAAATCTTCAGGGAAATTCGCATAACTTCAGACAAGTCCAAGAATCTACAGTGAAATATAAAGTATTTCACAGAAGTTTGGAGATCCTCGAAACATTATTCAACATCACAAAAGTTCGTAGATCTTCAGAAAAAAAGCTACAGAACTTTGAAAAAATCACAGGACTTCTGAAAAAATCACAAGAATCTCAGAAATGTTAATAGATCTTCAGTAAAAATTGCAGAACTTCAGGGATTTAAAAAAATAAATATTTACACGATTTCAGGAAAATTTGTAGATCTTGAGAGAGACATTTAAAACTTCAAGGAAGCTCAAATATTTTCTGATAAATTTTGACAACTTTAGGTAATCTTCAAGGAAATTTTCAAATCTGCAGGGTAACCCTAGAGGAATTTACAAAACATCAGAGAAGTTTGCAGATCTACTGAGAAATTTATGGAGCCTCAAGTTTTTTTGTAGATCTTGGGAATAGAGCTACGGAGCTTAAGACAACTTTACAGAACTTTAAAGATATTTGTAGGAATTTGACGGAAAGTTTCACAGTTTCACACAAATGTGAGATCTTCTGAAAAATTCGTTAAATGTCAGAAAAGCACCTCAATTCCAAAAACAAATCGCAGCGAAGTACAAAAGTACAATATTTTGCAGAACTCCATGGAAGTCGGAAATAGAGAAGTCCAGACCTTAAGAGAAATCTGTAGAACGTCAGAAAATTCGTACGTTTTTAGAAAAATTTGCAAAACTTCAGCAAAACTCGCAGATTTTCGGGAAAGTTCGCCGATCTTTAGATCAAGAATCCACAAAGAAATTTAAATAACTTTAGAAAAGTTCGGAGATCTACTGTGAAATTTATTGAACTTCAGGGCAGTTCGTAGATCTTTAGAGCAGAAATACAGTACTTCAGAAAACTTTACAGAATTTGAAATAAATTTTAGGAACTTTAGAAAAGTTCAGAGGGTAGGTCGTAAATCTACTCAAAAAATAGCAGATGTTTAAATAAATTTTCAGAATTTTACTGCGTTTCTTGGATTTTGAAAGACATTCACAGAACTTCAGGTAAGTTCGCTGATCTTTAGAGATATTTGCACAGCTTCAGAAAAATTAGAAAAACTTCAGAATACTTCCTAAAACTTCCGGAAAGTTCAAAAATTTCTAGATAATCTTTTAATTCTTTAGAAAATTGCATAGATGTTCAGAGATATTTGCAGATATTCATTGAATCATGAAAATCTGCAGAGAAAATTACAGAACTTTCGAGAAGTTTGTAGATTATTAGAAATGTTGTGAACATCAGAGATAATTGTTGATCTTCAAGGATCTTAAATCTTCAGGGATTCAGGAACTTTGTAGGTTTTTAGGAAAATTTGCTGAACTTCTGAAGAACACACAGAACGTCAAAGAAATTTGTAGAACTACCGAGACATTTGCAGATTGTCAGGAAAGATTGTTGATTTTTAAGGAAATTTTACCGGAGAACAGAAACAAAACTTCAGGGACGTCAGAAGGTTTGAAGACCTTGCAGAATTGAGTTGTTAACAGAAATTTTCAGAACTCAAGGAATCATGTATATCTAGTGAGAACTTTTCCCACTAGCTTGTCTAAAATTGGTATCGACATCCTGGCGAAGTTTTGAAATCCATTTTCATCTTCATATCGCAGCTCTTGATGGACAAGATGAGCCAAATCCCTGCCGGTGTTCCTCCTGAGCAACCATTTCCTACTCCACAAAGTTCACCTTCTCTTTCTCATTTTATTTAAAATAATAAAAGCAAATACGTCTGTCGAAACTAGAGCAATTTTCCGGTAATTCATGATGGAAGTATTTACTTTTGATTCCTGATACAGTTTTGTTTTGAAATCTAAATTGACAGTTCTTTCGACATGTGCAAGCAGTGTGAACACCAGCACAGTGAACACACGATAAAATAATAATGTGTATAATTTGTATGCACCTGGAATTTTTTTCATCCGACCTGGAAAAACCTGGAAAACTCAGGGAATTTGATTCCTTGGATTGAGTAGACACCCTGAAATACTCATTTCAGCTAAAACAACGTTTTTTTAATTATGAAATAATTAGATACTATGATCATATTTTGAATTGGTAGGATACAAGAAGAGGTTGCAAAGAATGTGTTTGACATATTAAACCTGTTTATTTCACTTCATGAGAGTCACAATCAGCGATTTTTCACACACTCACGCAGCGATCAGCAAATCGCTGATTGTGACTCATAGAAAGCAAAATTTACAGGTTTTATGTTACAAACACATACTTTGTAACCTCTTCTTGTAAGTTACAAGTAAAACATGTCATCATACCATCTTTTGGTTTTATTATTCCGAAAAACATTATTTTAACTGAAATGAGTATTTGCAAGCTTGGTTATTTGCACAACGAACGGGTGAACAGGAACCGCTGACGGCTGCTTGAGAACTTTATCTCCAATTTTTGAAAAATATAGATCTTTGTGATCAAAATGGAGCCAATCTCAGACACATGATTAAAAAGAAACTTACACTACACAGCCGTGTTGTTTCCGCCACTTGAAAATCCATCGGCAAGCCGCAAAAGCTCAGCCATTCGCTTTTCAAATCCCGTTTCTTCGGGAACCGGACAAAGCTAAGATTGGAAAATCCCGCTTTCTGCTGCTTCCTTACGGAGTTCGAGCAAAACTTATGGAAACACTTCATTTTCAAAAAAAAAAAACTTCAAATTTTATGAACTGTAAACTCTTGAGGGAATTTATATCTGTAACTGAAACCAGTTCGATTTTGTTTGCCAACCTGGTTAAAATGTCATATCTTAAAGATAAATCGTCCAGCTCAAACCTTTGTAGGGGTAAGAGGTGGGACCATCATCATCATCATCATCATCATCATCATCATTATCATCATCATCATGAATGGCAAGACGTAAACAAACTCGCTCGTCGGTGCATTGGCGAAGTCACTCGCAAGCAGTTACAAATGCAAGTGATGCCAGGATTGCTTTGATGTTTATCTTGTTGCCAAATTCATGTTTTTTTCTCCGCTGGTCTCTTATTCCAGTGTTTCTAGTTCTGATGCATGGTCATTATCAGTGTCATTCCTTAATTTTGTTGCTAAGGAATCCAATTTTGAGTGACAAAGGGGCGCGCCTTTGGAGAGTGTTTCAACTAGCAATGGGTGATCTTGGATCGAAAGTTATAACATGTTAAAGCGTTATCTTGATGGTGGTTTATGTGTTGCAATTATTTGACAACCGTTATAACATGTTATAACTCTCCAGTCTGAACAAGGCATTATAGTACGGTCAGACTACAGAGTTAAAACATGTTATATTGGTTGTCAAATAATTGCAACACAGAAACCACCATCAAGATAGCGCTATAACATGTTATAACTCTGTAGTCCGAACAAGGCATTAGACCCATTGGATCTCTAGGGATAAGTAATTCAAACCGAATCCCCTCCCTGGCTGCACCACTGCACTTGTTATCAGTTGAATCAAATATATTCACAAATACCATATAACCGTTCCAGCCTGCCTACACACAACTTAAACGAAAGCACGAACTCTACAGAAACTTAAATCACTCCTGCTAGCAGTAGTATCGGATCACACGCCATATGTGATATGTGATACCTATGCCTCAAAAGTTTACTATACCTATTTTGTGTGACTTGTTTTGTTAGTAGTACCCTGGCAAGCGGACGTCACACGTCTCCATATTCGTCGAGGGGGATTTGCGACATCTCATTAGGTGTTTATATTCACTTCTATACTGCCGCTCATGGCAAGTCCGTCCCATAGCACAAACCAGCAAGCCGAGAAAAAACGCGTTTTAAAATTGCTTCGTACCTCTTCGTACTATTGCTTCTTATGCAATAGGGCAACCCATTTGGCTGTTTTACCAAACTTACCAAATGGTCAGTTTATCCAGTATTATGAAACTAGGGGTGAATAGCTACCTATTTCACTGGAAAACTCAGTTTTGACAAAAATGCAAATGGGACCGACTTGCGATGAGCGGCAGTATATGCTAGCATCGTCATTGTCGTCGATGATAGGGCCTTCGTTGGATGTAGGATCGATCACTAGGTTGGAACGTGCTCCGCGTGTGTGTAGTATGGAGTGTGGACCATTCAGTACTCTCATTTTTTGATACCACTTCGTCACTTCTTTCTGTTATTGAAGCGCACTGATAATACACTGTAGTACAGCACAGACGAAGCTTGCAGTTCATATATAAAAGGAGGTGGGACTAATCAAATGTTCTCTTCAATTGTTATCAGCAAGGCAGTACGAAGAGAGTGTACTTCATCCAGCTGCGAAGAAGACGGCAAATTGTGAGTGAATGTGAAGCACCTAGACTCAATTGGACAGATCGACTGTGATTCTGTCGGGGCTGTGATGTGGAAATGTGATTGAGAGCTTGCGAATAAATTTGTGAAATCAGTTCACCGTTGGACGAAGTAGTATTCTGCTGTAGTGTAGTGCGGTTTCGCGGGTTCTGTAGTGATAGGGAAAGTCTAGCAATGGATGTAGTGTATACCTCGGATAGCTGCGACAGTGATTCGCGCGAACAGAAAACTGCCGACTTTGGGCATGCCAATAAGCGCCATCTGGACGAGGATTTGCTGCGCATGTGCAAAACCAAGAAGCTGGCCAAAGACATCGAAACGTTGCTCCTAAATCACAACAGCCTCTCGATCGTACCGGCATCCATCGGTGAATTCGAGAACCTACGTGTGCTGGACCTTAGCAACAATAGCCTGGAGCAGATACCGGAAGCGATAACGCAACAGTGTCAGCTGACGACGTTAATTGCCAAAAATAATCTGCTTACCAATAAATCGCTACCCAAGACGCTGCGATCGTCGCATGGAGGTGGCTTGAAGGAACTCAACTTGAGTGGAAATCGCTTCACGCACTTCCCCGAACAGGTGATCGAACTCAAGTCGCTGAAGTATCTCTACCTAGGAGGCAATCAGATCACCAATGTTTCGAAGGACATCTGGAAGCTGCACAAGTGAGTACTATCTGCACTCAACATCTCATGCAGAGATCATTGAGAAAATGTTCCTCTTCCCTTTTCATTTGCAGCTTGCAGCTTCTTTCGCTGGGCGGGAACCTGATCACGGAGATCCCGGACACCGTCGGACTGCTCAATAATCTCCACGCTCTCGTACTCTGTGATAACCTGATCGAGGCGCTGCCGAGCTCGATCGCTCGTCTGGTGCATCTCAAGTCGCTGCTTTTGCACAAAAATTGTCTCAAACATCTGCCACGTGAAATCATTACGCTGAAAAATCTAACCGAGGTAGGTCTCTTTATTTGATGCGAGTCAATTGAATAGCCCTGGAACTAGATTGACGTACCTACCAATTCTTATCATCCGTAACGAGATGCTATGATTTGCTTGTTTGGTTGATCGTGTTAGGTGGCAGATCTTTTCTACAAAGAGGCATTAAGATTAGAATCGGTCAAAAGTTGACCGGCAAATTGACGACAATTTGCGATAATAAGAGCAAGAGTTAGTCAAGTTCAATGGCGCAGAACGTTAAAATGTAGGGGAAGGTGGGGCAAGATTGATCATCTATTTGATTGAATAATGTTTTTGTTTGCCAAGGCTGCATTGAACCTGTTGAATTAGACAACCACATAAATTAATAGATGTACTAGCTGACCCATCTTGCCCCACCTTACCCTACTACAACTGTATACGTACTCAAAGTATTGAAAACGACGGCGAATCAATCTGCTGATCTAAAAGCAATTGTGATTCAGCATGTTTCGGTCGAAAGATGCTGTACTCTTTCAAAAGTTTTATAACAGATGACATGCAATTTTGCACTTTGTGTGGGCTGTTAAGAATTCTACAGGTTTAATTATAATTCAAGGCTTGTATCTACGTAAAGATAAAGATAACAGTTAGTTTAGGATATTACCCCGCAGGACCCATTATCCCGAATGTCTTCACTATCACTACGCCGGCGCCGTCCCCACTTAAACAATCTAACTGAAAAACTCGAAACCAATTTTTCTCGTTTTTGGCGATGATTTCTTCTTTCTTCTTTTCCTTTATTTAACGTCGGTCTCTGTTCCGCAATCTAGTGCCAATCACCGACGGACCAGCGTTGCCAGATATACCGATTTATTGGTATTTATACCGATTTTCAAACTTGATACCGATATACAGATAAGGTTTCTCAGAATACCGATTTTTGAGTTTTAATACCGATTTGTGCCGATGTTTTATTAATAATCAAAATGATTACTATCTGCCCGCACTGAATTGTCAAAGGAAACTATTGTGAGAGACAATTATCTTCTTGAAAATTAAAAGGTTTGAGCCTGCTCTAAAAAAAATCATCTTTAAAAATGTCTTATGATTGATACTCTTTCGACTAATGCTTACATTCCCTCGCGTTTTTGGTTACCAAGGAGTCGAGAAACAGCTGATGGTTTATCCCAATAATTTCTGGAAATCGGAAAATACTTTCATACAAAAGGCCCATAAAAACGTTAATTTTTGAACTTCCTGAAATTTCTTTAATCTTCCAACTTTCCCTAGGAATTTCCGTTCACCTTACCCTGCCCTGTAAGTTATTTTCCGATTCCTTCCGGAAATCTATTTCGACTTCTCTTGGAAGCTTCTTCTGGTTTCGCTCGAAAGGTTCTTCCGTCTCCTCCCGTCAGTTTTTTCAACTTCCCCGGGACTTCAGAAGTGCTTCCAGAGTTTTATTGCGGTTCCATTAGTTTCAGGAAAACTTCAGGAACTTTTCAGAAGTTCTGAAACTTCAGAATAGTCCGGACTTTTGGGTAGGTTCCGATAAATTATAGACAGTTTCATTAACTTCTGTTCAAATTAGAGAACCCGGGAATCGCAGGAAAGCCCAGAGAACTCAAATGAACTTAAGGAAACTGAAATATTTTGGAAACTTCACAAGCCCAAAGAACTTTAAAGAAATTTAATTGTTTTCAGGGAAGCTTTAAGAACATCAGGACTTATAAATTAAAAAAGATTTCTGAACCTTTAAATGAGTTCCGACAAACTCAGGCAATTTCCGAAAACTTCAGTTAAATTCCGAGAGGTTCATGAAAATTTTGGAAATGTAAGGGAAGTTACATGAGCATTAGAAAATTGTGAGAACATTTTAAGGGAAGCTCTGTGTTTTTATCGGCAGATTCGAGAACTTAAAAAATTAAAAAATTGGGAAGTTCAGAGAACCCAGAAACCTATTTCTTCCAGATAATTGCCCATCTTCTCCTTGAACTATCTTTCGACTGTTACGTAAGCCCTCTTGCGTCCGACTTTTTCCAGAAGTTTCTTCTAATCTACCGTAGGAAATTTCTCCCAGTGTCTCCTGGAAGTTTCTTCCGTCTTCTCCAGGAAGTTCAATTAAAGTTTTACCGGATGTATCTATCGAGTTCTCCCAGAAGTTTCTTTCGTCTTCTTCTGGGAGTTTCTCCATAAGTCACCCTCCGTAGGTTTTTTTTCCGAATTTATTGTAAGGTTTTTCCGAGCTTCTCCTTACTTTCCCTGGAAATAGCTCCTCCGGGATTGGCTTCCGATTTCCAAACTTTTCTGGCTTCTGGATTTTATCAGAAAGTTTCTAAACATTTTTGCCAGCAGTTTCTCAATATTTGATCCCCATCGAATGTTTTTTCGACATCTTTTAGAACTTTTTTCAAACTTCAAGATCTCATTTATTCTTCCTCTGGAAGTTTTGTCGGTACCATTAAGAGACTAATTCAAATATTTCCCAAAAATTTCTTCCGACTTACATGGAAAGTACATCCTTTGATTTTAGTCCAAAAGATTGAAAAATTTAAAATTAATTAAAATAGTGAATACCGATCAATACTGATTTTCTATCATTTGATACCGATAAATATGAAAACAATCTGGCAACGCTGCGACGGATATCGATTGCCATCCATTGACGGCAACCGAATGTGCGGGAAGGCAGCTTCTACACCTGTGTAGGATATTGCACCCATTCACAACACACATGGGCCGGGACCAACGGCTTTACTTCCCTTCCGAAGGAAGACGTGACCAGAGATTTGTATGCCCCAGAAAAATCCCACTAACCTCGGCTGGGATTGAACCCAGACCCATTGGGGTGTCACGCTTACCACTACACCACCGACGCCGGTGATTTCTTCTTTCATGAGTAGTTCTTGAGCTTGAGCTTGATTGACCGCCCACGGTTGCTACTCTGTTACTGCCAGATCAGCTGTAATTACACAGAGAACCAATAGACGATGCTTGGGACTAGCAATCATCCTCAATGTGTAAAAACTGGTGATCTTAAATTAGGCAATACCAGCGCCGGCCGCGCCCGAACACAGGTCAAGAAAGGAATGGGAAGGATTGTGTTGACATGACACTCGCTTTGATGGAAGCCGAGAACACCTCTGCACTTCCACGAGGAATCACAGGGATGTTGGATAAGAGGGTTGGATTTGCAGCAGGGTTCGTTTTGGTATACGATAAGCTGAATTGATGTCCTAACGATCATATCACGCGAAGGAGCTTGGGAATAAACCCACGGTCTTCTGTGGCAAAAACGTTTGCCACTAGGCAGACGAGCACCTTTTTAATCACCGAGTTGCTGTTATTACCATGTAGTCACATTAACAAATAAAACGATTGACGAATCTTGAATGTGGATGGGCCTGAGATTAGACTCATGATGTTCTGCTCAGTAAGCAAAAACGGTTGCTCTAAGGCCACCGAGCCCCTCATATCACATAATACCGTTGCTCAAATTTGTGTATCCATTCAAACCCCGAACCAACGACAACAACGAGTTTCGCAAAATACACGATACACAAGCGATTTTACCATAAATCTCTTTGATATGTAAGGACCTGGGACCGCGTTTTTCTGCTCAGTAAGCAGGCCACTGTAACCGACAATCTTTCAAATCCGAAAACTAAAAACTACTAAAAAGTACTTAGACCTTCAGTAAGTTCCACTTTCACGCGACGTTCAATGACAGGGTCCTATCCAGGATTACATCTGAAAAATCCAAATCTGGCCAACGCCCACCTAAACCTGTTCTAATCCACCTGAAATGACTAACGAATGGAAGACTTTGACTACCCAGCCATGCAATAGTCTCATTCCGTGCCTTATGGCAACTTGATGATTCTATTGCGCTCATCTTTTGGCACCACCCAGGGGAGACTTGGTCCTGTACCCAATGCTTAACTTATCTCCATTCCACTCAGCTACTCGCAAATATTCGGAATATTATTATATGAGACAATTCAATGCAGACGTCTTTCCAAATTTGGCAGATCGACAGGTAATCGGTGAGTTACCACGATAGTTGCTATTCAACAACTCGACAACGTCCCATCGTCAACGCCTGCTATGAGAATTTCCCATTGCAGACGCCAACGAAATGACGTCATCGAGCTATCGATCAACTACCCTGGTTATCGCCTGGTACCTTATAGCACGATGCTAGGAGGCGAACCGGAAGAATCTATGAGCTACCTCTCTCCTCCTCTTCTTTCATGAGTAGTTCTTTGACAGATAAATGCTTTTGGACAATCAAACTGAAATACTCGTATACGCCATTTCTCTCTCTTGGAGTCTACTTCTTCTTTAACTCTTTTCTTACCAAAAGTAGACCTGTGCGCCGATCAAAATATTTACTACGACGCAGGCATGTCTAAACGGTCTAAACGCAACACTACTCTGCGTACTGCCTTTTTTACACACCACCAAGAGCATTGAGTTGTACACTCCGTACCAGTGCTCGATAGAAAACACCAAAAGCAGCAAACAAGGCACCGGTGTATGGATCTTCGGCAAGCACTAAGGTGAATCATTGTGATATCCTTATTCTCGGAACCACTTCGAAACTTTAAGTGCACAAATATCAGCTTCTACGATCCGTGCAACATTCAAATTGCTACTCCACGTTTGCTGCACTACAGCATACATGAAGTAGCATTTTCAGTTGAAATGGGGCACCGATTTTCGGGATTTGTGTAATTGAAAATTCCAAGTGGAAGTACATGTATAGTGTACGTTGCGGCCATTTGTGGACTCAACAAGGAATCACCCTAAAGCCGAGTGTTTCTGACTTCGGCAAACACCGCAGCCGAGTGTTTTCGATTTCGGAAAACACGCTTGCTGCTCGCAGGAGTTTTCTTTGGACGACTTATGAACATTATGATTTTACACAAGGAAGCCCTTAAACGCGCTAGAGCTGATAGACGAGTGGTCGAAGCAATGGTATCATAATGTCAATGTCCATGGCTAGGTTATGGTTTGTCACCCTCCAAATTTTTCTG